GAGGCCCAGAAAGAGAGGCAGGTCCTGATCACCAGCTGCCGTGGAAGCTGCAGATAAGGCCTGGAGATAGGCCCAGAGAGAGAGATAGCTGTCAGTGGGGCCATTCTGGATTTCCCAGAAAAGCCAATGGCTGCCTAGGAGGCAGAGCTTTTGAGGCTGACTGGCATAGAAACCGACCAATCAGAACCAAATCTGGGTGAACTGCAAGGAGCCAATGGCTGCCTAGGAGGCAGAGCTTTTGAGGCTGACTGGCATAGAAACCGACCAATCAGAACCAAATCTGGGTGAACTGCAAGGAGCCAATGGCTGCCTAGGAGGCAGAGCTTTTGAGGCTGACTGGCATAGAAACCGACCAATCAGAACCAAATCTGGGTGAACTGCAAGGAGCCAATGGCTGCCTAGGAGGCAGAGCTTTTGACGCTGACTGGCATAGAAACCGACCAGAACCTAATCTGGTGAACTGCAAAGGCAGAACCTAAGGTGGGGGCTGAGGAGGGGTTTTAAGGGCAACAGCTGTTTGGTGTAAGGTGTAAGAAAGCGGTTCAATTTTTTAATAACTGGTTTGGCAGTATAGGGCATGTAGCTGGCTATCAGTCCAGATATAGAGATTATGTATTTTTGTCTGCAAAGAGCATCTCCTCCTGCTGAAAAAGGCTCCCCCCCCCCAATTTAAGCAATCCTATCCTATATAATCTATCTATACTAATAAAAGGATAATATGCTAATTAGACCAGGTCAACCAGCCATCTTCCGATGTCCGACTTCCTTCCAGACAAAGCCATGGTGGTGGGGGCTGAGGCAGAGGCAGTCAGGGGTGATCAGGCTGGCAGGGGAGGGCAGTTGGGTGTGAGATCAGGCCAGCAGGGGATTAGGGGCAATCAGGCCAGCAGGGGAGGGCAGTTGGGGGCAAGATCAGGCAGGCAGGGGAGGGCCATTGGGGGCAACCAGGCAGGCAGGGGAGCGCCATTGGGGGCAACCAGATCAGCAGGGGAAGGCAGTTGGGGGTGACCAGGCTGGCAGGGGAGGGCAGTTAGGGGCGATCAGTTCAGCAGGGGAAAGCAGTTGGGAGCAATATGGCTGGCAGGGGAGCAGTTAGGAGTGATCAGGCCGGCAGGCAGAGGTGGTTAGGGGCAATCAGGCAGGCAGGCAGAGGCAGTTAGGGGTGATCCGGCAGACAGGCAGGTGAGCGGTTAGGAGCCAGCGGTCCCAGATTGCAAGAGGGATGTCCGACTGCCGGTTTAGGCCTGGCAGTCGGACATCCCCCAAGGGGTCCCCAGTTGAAGAGGGTATAGGCTGGGCTGAGGGAACTCTCCCCCCCTGCACAAATGTCGTGCACTGGGCCTCTAGTCCTATATAATAAAAGAGTAATATGCAAATTGACCCTAATGGTGGAACAACCAGAACGACCACTAGACCAGTCACTATGAGGCGCACTGACCACTTCTCAGTCTCTTCCCCCAGCCGGCAGGCTCCCATCACCCAATGAAGAATGAGGAACCAGGGGTGGATGGTGGGGAATGTGGGCGGCACTAGGCCAAGGCCCCCACCCCGCTGGTCACCCCACACACTGAGGGCGACCCATGGCGGGGGCGGGACCGCCAAGCAGGCGGGAATGGCCAACCTCTCAGTCCCTCCCCCTGGCCGGCAGGCTCCAATTGCCTGATGGTGAATGAAGAACGGGGGTGGGTGGCAGCAGGAGGGTGGGGCCAGCTGCTAGCAGCTGGGGAAGATGGCCCTGATCACAGGCCAGGCCTGGAGACCATACCCATGCACGAATTCATGTGCCGGGCCTCTAGTACATATATAATATATATGCAGGGTGTCCCAAAAAAATGTATACACACTTTACAGCTGATAGCTCAATTAATGTTTCTTTCTTTTCTGATTTAACCCATTGGAATTAATAATTATTCAAGCTATGTATACATTTTTGGGATGTCTTGTATATAATATATTAAACAAAGGCAGACAGAAAATGATAGATAATCTATATAATATCTACCTGTCCTACACCCAACAGGGAAGATGATAGATAGATATAGATATAGATATAGATATAGATATAGATATAGATATAGATATATGTAGATATGATAAAGATATAGAAATATTTAAGGGATATATTTTAAGAAATTGGCTCCCATGATAGTGTGAGCTGGCAAGTCTAGAATCTGTAAGGCAGGTGGCAGGCTGGAAGCTCAGGTAAGAGTTGATGCTATAGTCTTGAGGCAGAATTACTTCTCTTTTGGGACACCTGGATTTTTGCTCCTGAGGCCTTGGATGAGGCCCACCCACATTATTGAGGATAATTACTTCTCTTTACTTGAAGTCAACTGATTATACTGCTAACCATATCTAAAAAATACCTTTACTGCCCTAACCTGTTTGGCTCAGTGGATAGAGCATCGGCCTGTGGACTCAAGGGTCCCAGGTTCGATTCCGGTCAAGGGCATGTACCTTGGTTGCGGGCACATCCCCAGTGGGGAGTGTGCAGGAGGCAGCTGATCGATGTTTCTCTCTCATCAATGTTTCTAACTCTCTATCCCTCTCCCTTCCTCTCCGTAAAAAATAAATAAAATATTTTAAAAATTAAAAAAATTAAAAAATACCTTTACAGCAACACATTGGTTAGTGGTTGATTGAATAACTAGGGACTATGGTTTGGCTAAGAAAATACAAGAAACTATGACATGAAATAACAGGGGTATATCATATGGAGCCCCACAGACCATTATTCTAGGTGAGATAAGGAGACATTGGAGGGTTACACTGGAGGACTTTAAGAGAACAGTGAGATAGTCTGACAAGTTTAAAAAGACCACTCTGGTAACTGTATTGAGAATATTGTGAAAATAAATAAAGGAAACCTCATTTAAAATGAAGAAGGGGGCTGGCTGGTATTATTCAGTGGTTGAGTGCAACCTATGAACCAGGAGGTCATGGTTCAATTCCCAGTCAGGACACATGCCCAGGTTGTGGGCTTGATCTCCAGTGGGGGAGTGGAGGGTTGTGCAGGAGGCAGCCAATCAATGATTCTTTCTCACCATTGATGTTTCTATCTCTCCCTCTCCCTTCCTCTCTGAAATCAATAAAAATTTATTTTTTTAAAAAAAAGAAAATGAAGGAGGGAACGCACACACTATCACTCAGACACCAAACAGGAGGATGCTTACTTTACATACTCCAGAAGAAGAAAGAATTTCCCTTTGCCCAGCAACAGCCCAGCCAATAAGAGGCCATTACTACACTGAACTCTTCAAAATTATCCTTCCCAGGTTCCTCCTTGCTTCTCTTCTGTTCTTCAGACTTGCCTATGGCCCATCATAATTTGCTTGTTCCAAATTGCAATTCCTCTGCTTTTCCTGAATAAATGCATATTGTGGGTAAAATAAATAGTTCTTTTATTTATTACAGTCAACAATATCTTAGAAATATCTTTTGTGCGTGTGTTTGTTTTCAGTGTTTTACATGCAGGATAGTGTGGTGAACACATTCATTCATTGAAATAATATTGCTCTTAATCATAGGTGCACCAGCATTCTCAGAAACACCTTTTGATGTTGCCTTATATTTTGGGAAGGGAATAAAAAGAGAGAGAAGAGGCGAGTGAAAACTCTGACATCCAGGGTGACCAGTTCTCTAAGACTCAAGGCAGTATGGCTTAGTACTTAAGGACTTGGTTTCTAGAAACAGAAATCCCTTTTCTTGCTCCAAGTCACAGATTCATCATCTATAAAGTGAGTCCATCTAGCTGATAGGTAATCATCCACCCCTACAAACATGGTGTTTTTGTCTAAATTTCAAGGCATAAAGTAGGTAAAGTGCACAGTGCCTGGCTGATAGTAAGTGCTCATGATATTACCTATGATGTGAACATATCTAGTATGCTATGATGATTGGAATAAAAACCACTAAAAAGAGTAAGAAAAGTTGATGATTACAATGACTTCCCAAGGAATAATTGTTACCATCAAAACTAGCTAGTTATTAATGTTAATTAACAGGTAGGAAGCAAAGGGAAGGCCAGACATTATAAGCATGTTCATCTAGGCAGCTTCACCAGGAAGCTGCAACTTTACACTCCCCAGGGAACCACTGGTCCATTCCCTGCAAATCTCTGGGGTAAGGGGTCCAACAAAGAGGGAGATGGATGCACATGCCATGAAGTTGGGATGATGGAAGGAAGGTGCTTGCTGGTCAGTTGAACCTGGGAAAAAGATAATTGGCTAGAGGGGGGTGGTGCTATTGCAAGTTCTCAAAACCCTGAAGGATTCATTGGATAAGCTCCTAATTAAAATCCCCATTGAATTCTCTCTCTCTCTTGTTCCTCTTGGCTCTTTTGCTCCTGTTTCTCGCTTGCTCTGTGACCCCTGTGCTAGCCTGCCATGTGGCTTTAAAGAGCCGAATGGCCCATGGTCATGCAGACTCCACACACAATGGACTGCAGCTGGGAACACATGCTAAGCTAGCTGGACTGGACTGTGATAGATCCTCCCTTCCCCCAACTGGTGGGCCGAGTGTGACATAACCTGCAGCCTGGAAATACCTGAGTGACTAACCATGTACCTTCTATGGACTATACATTGAGCCACCAATCAATACCTGCCAAATACTGTAAGCCCTTGCTCCTATATGGACCATACATTAAGCCACCAATCAGCTCGAGTACATTAAGCACCCATACCTTCCCATTCTTCCCCTCAAAAGGCATGCTCACCTCTGCACGGGGTGCTGTTCTCCCATTGCGAGACAGCCTGGCAGGTCTCTTTCCCCTAATAAAGCCTGTAATCCTGGTTTTCAGCTCCCAACTGGTCTCTCAGACTGTGCTTTGGTGAGGTGTGGCAACTCTGGCAGTAGCTTTAATCCTACCTCTGCTGAAGAAAACATTGGATTTTTTCATGGAGGGATGGAGGGAGATGGGATTTTGGAAGGGAAGTCTCTTAATGTTACCTCATCCATAAAGCTTTCAATGATAACTGATCCTCTGATGTGGGCCTCAGGAAATTATTGTTCCAGCGGCACCCCAAGAAGCCCACTTCCACCAGTAACAGTGGGGGACATAGAGGACACACCACCAATAACGGATGGCAACTCAGCTGGGAATTCAATAGGTGAAGAAATGGCTCTAGAAAGCGGGAAAGCATCCCTTCTCATAATCTCTGAAGCTGCAGATGGAGAAACAGCAGAAGGAAATCCTGGCCTGGATTATGGTGAGAAATGGAACCTTACCTTTCTATGCTGGGAGTTTTATAATTCGTTTCTGTCTCTCTCTCCTGTCCTGGTTCCTGTGTGGGCTTTTCACTTCCTTTTTTCTGCCCTCCGTCACCTCAATCACTGCCCCTTCAGACTCGGGCCCAGGACTAACGTCGTGGGTGTAGGGTGTCCAGCTGTGCCCCAGGCCAGGGCTGCGGCTGCAGATGCCTGCGGCCTGGCAAGCAGTGGAGTCAGAGCCGGTGCTCCCTCAGTGCCACTGCCTGGGCAGATGGGGCTGTGGTTCCCCGCTGGGCGGGAGGGAAGTGTACGTGCTCCCAGTACTAATTTCGTGGGTCCTATATCTGGTGCGAGAGACATTGGCGCGGGGGAGGGGCGCTCCTCGGACTCCTTTCTCTATTCACAGCGACTGCACTCAGAAGCAGAAACCTATTTCAGCTGCGGAGCTCAGCCGCTTCCCTTCTGCAACTCCTCACCTCCATCCTGCCAGCTTTTTCACAGCTTCCCGGGTGCAGCGGGTCACAGACACACACTGCTAAAGCCCAGGGGGGAGGGGGGAGGGGGAATACTTAGGGCATGGTTCGAGCCCAGCACCAAGGGTCCCCAGACTCTCGCTTCCCTCTGCCTCTACCCTGGCGGTACTCCTGCCTCTGCAGCATGAAACTGGCAGGGCACCAGCGGAGAGCAGGCGCACACTCAGTGCTGCTTGGATTTTACTACAGTGCCTTTCCCTGCTCTCCACCTCCCTGTGACTAAGACCTCCCTCAGAAGGCTTGGAAATTTGCCCCCTTCGGGCATTCCTGCGTGGGGCGCCCCAGCCCTGCGGGCTTAGGGCATGAGGCTGGGACCTTGTGGTTGTGTGCTGGGGAGGGGGACAGGCACCGGTTAGCTGCCAGCTCCCAGAGATAATTCTCTTGGCAACCACTCATGTTGCTAGGGGGTGGGAACCACAACTGCCACTCCCGTAACCTCATTTCTAGGGGGCGGAGCCACAGAAACCACAGCCAAAGCCCCATCTGATGCTCACAGCTACTGCTGTGATTTTGACTCATGCAGACACGGCCACTGCCTGTTAATGCTTCCACAGGTATAAGTAATACAGAAAAGCTTCAAATGTACAGGTGCTCATAAAAATGAAAAGTTTTTGGTAACTAATCTTGGAGACTGACTAAATATTTATTACTATCCCTACAAAAAGACTAACAATTTAACCACAGGGCCCAGGTGTTAAATCTGTTTTGCCAAGTTAACAGGAAATGCTCTCTCTTCTTCTCACTTTGTTAGGCCTCTTGAAAGTCTGAGCCTGCATGAAATACAGGAGGAAAGAAACAGGTTACTAGCCCAGCTATTAAAGGCCAGAGTTTTTCTACCTGACAGTGGAGGGTGGAAACCTCCAGTAAGGTCAGAGGCCATCAAAATCTCTCACATAAAGTTATGTGAACCCAACTAGCAGGGTCAATAACACTACATACCTAGATAATTGTGTCACCACTTCCACTTAGGGAAGACCCGTCATGGGAAGAGACTTTGAGCTGTGGACAAATTCCACAGCCAGCTTAGGCAGGATTGCCATAGGATGCCTCGGGGGCTAAGGGGTCATAGGCAGTCCCAAATTATACTCTGTGATAGAGCTAGGGAACATTAGGGATGCTCATTCTCCCTCAGCTACCAGTATCTCCCTCTGATTAAGAGGATAAAAGGTTTTTAGGTTTTTCTCCCTGAAGATAATAGGTAATAAAATCATTCACTGCACCTCAAAAGAAACTCCTTTGGGTGCATATTCAACTGGCAAAAAGCTAACTCTAGATTTTTTTTCAATAAAAGGGCTGTCTGCCTTTAAAGTGCTAATACCTGCTCCCCAAGAACCCTCATCTGAGCCATCTCTTGGAATGCAGATTTCTGGAAGGAGCTATCTAAGCCAATCAATTTAACTTAGTTCACCTGTGACTTGCTACACCAGTGAGTTTTGTTACATGATATGTTTCTAGAAGTTAAGGAATGTGTTTGCCAATCTAGGAAATGCTAATTGCTTACTTTTAGTTTTTCTCCCTACCTTATCACTCCAGAATTTGGCAGTTCTTAATGAGTGAATCCTGGCAATATGTTTCTTTGCATGAATTCAATAAGAACAGTCTTCACTTGTGGTATATTAATTAAGACTTTAACTAAAATGCTATGTCTGAGATAGACATGCATGGACTCTGGATGTCAGCAGAAAGTTTAAGGGATTGAGATTGACTTCCAAAGCCCCCACAGCAGAAATGGTCCATTACCTTGCTTGGTCACGTGATTTCCAGGTAAGAAACAAAGGTTGCTTCCCTGAAAGATGGCAAGAAAGGAACCTCAAGATATTTTTGGAACCTCAAGGACTTGAGGAATTTACACAGACCTACAGGTATCACAGACAAAACCTGATGGTAACTGTAGCTTTGCTTCTTTGTCCTGAGGAACTGATTAAAGGTCAATCTAAAGATTCCTTGTGAAAAATCCCAGCAAAGCAGACTTGAAAGAACACGTGTGATTGATTTGATCAATTACTGTTCTTATTGTCACCTCTGCTCCAGTCTGGTTAGTCTTCAGCAAAGGGAAATGCAGTCTTCAGTTTTCTGTGAAAAGGGAAAGTGCACACACAAACCAGAGGGGAGCTGACATATAGAGAGAAGTCCCCTCCCCTAGTCCATGATATGGGAAGCCGCCTATTGTCTTCTCTAGCAGAGAGGGTGGACAAAGGAGCCTGGAATGCTGGTGACCCTTGAAGCCCTGGCAAAGGTCAGGGCTATGCACCCACTGTTTACTCAAGACAATGATAGCTGAAGCAACTTCCCCACCAGATAGTCATGTAAATCCTTACTGATAAGATAGTCTGTTACTGGAACTTGCCTGCCTAAGGGCTTTGGGTGTATCCCAAACTCAATAAAATGATGGCAAGGCCTGAGCACAAGCGGAGTCCATCCTTTTGGGATGATGGGCTCTCTGGCCCCCCAATTTCCAAATTATCTCTTGTCTCTTTCATTTGTGTGCGGCCCCTCTTCCAGATCCTGAACCCTGAACCACACAGGATGTGGGGGAACATACACATCTACACACAATTGGACTGCTCTCGTGTAAATGAGAACTCCCAATCCTCACAATTTGATTGGTCCAAAAAGCACTGTCCTGATTGGCCAAAACAGAGTTGCTCTAATTGGTTGGTGAAGATGCTAATGAGGATATAGCTGCACAGCTCCAACTGGATAGGTAAAGTCTCAAACCTATTGGTTGAAATAGGATTCCAGGAACTCCTTTATAGGAATTGGCTCAGCTGACAGGAACACAATGCAGATAAATAGCTTAGTGCCAGAGGCAAGTAGTGTAGTGCAGGCTTCTCCCTTAAGTGTGGCTTGCATGAAAGGTCCCTTTTAGCAACAGCTGCCAGTCTGTTTATAAATTTGAGCCCAGTTAGCCATTAGGAGCCCTTTTCAACAGGTACATTTACTTTCCAGGTCAACAAAACCTTCCTTAAACCTTCAAGAGGGGATGGTAAAAACAGCCTCATATAAATTGTGAGGATTAAGTGACTCACTATACATGTTACAGACGAACAAAGAAATACCAAGCACACTTCCTGGAGAAAGGGAGGAACCCATTTATTAACACTAGTGGACTCTGGGAATAATTTCCAAATCAGAGTGAAGTAACACGCAGAGGCTTCGCTTTTTATAACCTTCTAGGGCATTGTCTTGCAGATGTGGTTCCGCCCCCTTCTGTGGCTTACAGGAAGGCCCCCAGGTGTCGATGATCTGTCCTGAGGCCAGTAATAATGACCTTTCCCACCCCTGCCCCCGGGCAATGCATTGTTCACAGTTTTTATGGCCTGACACGCCTTGCAAGACCAGTTTCCTCCTCATACACAGGGTGCTTACAACAGTACCTGGCACAAGGTATGCCCTTAAATGTTAACTGTTCTCCCCAGCAATGTAGCTGGAACACTATGGTTTCTGGGGTCAGGTAGGTTTGGATGGCCATGTGTGGACCTAGGTACAGATTGGTCATAACAATATAAAAACACTTGGAAGCACAAGTCTGGCATGTTTTAGTTAGATCTGATTAGGTAAGCAGGCAGCACAAATGCAACTTGTACATCTTAGAACACTGTGTACTTTTCTCATTATTTTCAGAAAGACACACTGAAAAATACTTTTTATGGCAACAATTTTTAAGAATAGTGATATGTGGTGTACAGGGCAACACATAAAACAGGGAGGATATGTCTGCATGACATATCCTGGAACTTGCAGAGAATGGCCATTTGCACAACTGAGAAGTCCTTGAGTGATGGGGGAAAATCAAGCTTTGTATTTCTTTTCCCTTCACAAACTGGTATAAAAGTATTAAAAGCAAAAATATTACTGCAAATATATTTAGCAGGAGTTGAGATCAGCCAAGAAACTGGGAACCCTCCCACTGCAGGTGATAGAATTTTGTTTCCATATGTCCTGCTGGCTAATCCAGTGCTTGAAGGGAGGGAAGCACCAAGTGCAAAGGAAAAAAGGAAAGGAGAATTAGGCAGCTAGAGGCTACCTATTCTTAAATTCATGTTTAAGGGAATTGTCTTCTTAACCTAAGGCATGCATGCAGTTTGGGGCTATTTGATTCCAAGACTCTGGGGCTCAAGCACAGTAACCTGTGAAACCAAGCCTGATGCAAGGTCAGGGTGCTATTTTAAAAGCAGTTGCTGAATATAGAGGAAGGTAACATCTTAGGGAGATTCCACTGTCAAAGTTAGGCAAACTCAGGTGGACAGGGAGAACCTAGGTACAAAATCAATCAGCTGGAGATGAGTTAAGACCTAACAAGAGAGAAGGATTAAAGGAATTTAAAAGGGGAAACTTGGAGTAATTTTTTTTTTCTCCTTGAGAGCAGGCAATTTCAGTGGCTGTTCATGGGAGTCCATAGTCACTGAAGAATGTAATAAAGTCTATATGCTATTCCTCTACTCAAATGGTTCCCCAGGCTGAATGCAATTTGCACTTCCAATGGGTTTGCCCACTTGGCAACTCCAAAGTACATGAGGAGAGTACTGTAAGAGGTGGACCAAGGTCCATTTCTCTGGCTCATAGCTTAGCTACAGTCTAGGTGATGGGGTGTGGAGATTGGCTCACATATAAGTCCAGAACTTCCTCTGCCACATGCACATATTCATCATCTGGAAATGGCATAGTCGAGGGTGTGCTGGGAAGTCTTCTGAACTATGTGTGGCCGGGAGTAGTGGGGGATAGGCTGGATGTACTGAGAACTGCACATCACCAGCCCAAACTCAGTAACCCTGAAGGGTGGGTCCCAATGGTCCCCACCTTTGTCCATCAGAGTCTATGTGGCCAGTCAGCAAGGCTAGAAAAGAGAGGTACAGAATGAACTGTTCTTAGGAATCTCTAATGTGTAGGGAGTAACCTGGCTGGGGGTAGGGTAAAGTCCCTCTCAATAATTGCTGAAATCTTGTCTAACACTTTGCAAATCAGTTGGTAGAGAAGGTAACTGAGGAACTCTACCTCAAAGTTCTTGAAAATGCATTTCTAGGGATGAGCCAAAAAGTGATGCTTGGGTAGGTCAGACTGCCCAGGCAGAGAGTGGGTCAGAGCCTTTTGAGAATTGGCTGTGGGGCTCCAACTTCTCGTGTAGGTTGCACATCAGGAAATGACAAGTCACAGAAGTGGAGGTAAACTAAAATACCACCAGGTGGTTGGTATTTGTCACACCTGAGGTTAAGCATGCCCCTGCCTGCTGTGTGTAGAGTAACTGCAGTACAAACAATTGGAGAAT